GATGTAGATAACAACGCTTAGCTTGTAAATAAAGTTAGGAACCTTAACCTAACCTTGTAAAACAAGATATATATTCACAACGCATATTGAGAACACGTATATTTTTCAACGATTTGAAATGCTAATTTCCAGGACAAACAATGATTTTAATGGAAATTAATTACGAATTATTCCGCAGCGATCGAATTTGCTTAACTAGAGAGTAATTACTGAAGCCAAGATTCCAGTTTTTGCAAGCAAAGGCTTATGTAAACTCCCTCCACCCACACTAAGTGATGGATATCTCTTCCAGGGCGATTAATCATCCAGACCAGTTCAACACAGCCAGAAAGTCTGCTCTGTAAAGGGTAACGGAATAATGCTTCCATGTTCTCTGCTTTGTAAACGTTACACCGCAGACCTGACCATTTCCAATCCGTTTTCATTTAGGCAACTTAAAGTTTGGAAGAGGAAGACAACTCAGTGAGAGGAAGTCAGCGCAAGACGTCTTGCTGCTAATGACTTTTGCTAACGTGACAATAATGCATCCAGCATCACCTTCCGTTATGCTGGGAAGATATCCTAAATAACATGGATCCGAGCCTATGCACAGAAAGAGTTAACTCTGTGGCATTTGAGGTATGCTCAAGGCACATTCCCCTAAGAAATATGAAGAGATGTAAAATAGAGAGTCGCTCCTTTAGGTTTTTAGCCAGCAACCGTCCAGGAAGGTACAACTCTCCCTTTGTGAGTGTAAATGGAAACCTCTTATATATTTTGTACTCTGGCAGGATGTCCGGCCTTCCCTCCCTATCTCGTGAACTTGTAAAATGATAAGTATATCACGATAAATTCTATTTACATTTAATATTCACTCCAGCCTTCTCGCTACAAAAAAAAAAAAAAATACTTGACACTCATACACATCGTCTTTCAGATATCTAAATACATATAATCCCTCTTTATTCCCTATCTCTAATCTGACCTCCAGTCTTTTATTATTTACAAACCTTCTTACTCTATCACTTCGCCTTTTTCCTGTGTTCGTTTTCACCTTCCTTCTACACACCCTCCTAAGCTCTTCCACCAACCTTCGTAACTTCGTTCGCGAACCTCCCAAAAGAACAGTTCCAACAGGAAAGGCCCGGTGGCCTGGTGGCTAAAGCTCCCGCTTCACACACGGAGGGCCCGGGTTCGATTCCTGGCGGGTGGAAACATTTCGACACGTTTCCTTACACTATTGTCCTGTTCACCTAGCAGCAAATAGGTACCTGGGTGTTAGTCGACTGGTGTGGGTCGCATCCTGGGGGACAAGATTGAGGACCCCAATGGAAATAAGTTAGTCCTCGATGACGCACTGGCTTTCTTGGGTTATCCTGGATGGCTAACCCTCCGGGGTTAAAAATCCGAACGATATCTTATCTCTAACTGTGAGAATGGGAAAACACAACACACCTGCAGCACTGATGTCCCACATAGTACCTTAAAGACTTGGGAGAGTTTTAAGAAGCATAATTGCTAAATTTTTACATAAAGACTTCGCCATCCAGTGGTTTTATCAATTCACTACACGAATATGATCTGAAGAGTGTAGCAATATATACAGAAGACACTGGAATATACTACTACTACTAATAAAGACATGCTTTTATCACAACTGCAATAATAAATAGAAAACTTACGTGTACGTTGGCTTGAATTATCTGTAATGTCCATAACTAGTAAACAAATGCTGTTGTTGCTTCCTAGCTTTATGCTGGTAGCTGTGTCGCTGGTAGCTGAGGTGGTGGTAGCTGCAGTAGTGTTAGCTGTGGACCTCGTAGCAGCACTGCTCTCCACGGTACACACACACACAGTGGAGACAGCACGGGACAAGTACCGAAGCATCGTTTACACGTGGTCAGCTCTCCCTGGCTGGCGTGTTGACTGCACGAGGGTCATAAAGATTGCTTGACGCCAGTAAACCACCAATCAAGAACACTTTAATCCCTAACATTAATATAAACTGTGTATATGTACACAGATACACTCTTAACAGTGTATATACTCTGTGGATGCTTCAAGCCAAAGGTTTGAATCTCGTTTTCAGTCGAACTGCTCTTGCGAACGATTCCAGTTCGCTATCGCATTGATCTGATAAACTCCCTTTGGAATTACGCAGCCCCTCAAGGGAGGCTCCTTGATGCTGGCGAGGGGCTCTTCATCTTGGAACTTGGATCTGTGCTCCAGTTCCCTGAATTAAGTTGAATGCCTTCCGCCCCCCAGCTGTAGTAGTCTCCCCAGCTGCAGTAGTCTCGCCAGTTGTTGTCTCGGCAGCTGTTTGTTGTCTTCCAGCTTTAGTGTCTCCAGTTATAGTCTCTCCAGCTGTAGTGTCGCCATTTGTAGTCTCCCCAGCTGTAGTGTCTCCCAGCTGTTGTCTCCTCAGCTGTAGTCTTCCCAGTTGTAGTGTCTCCCCATCTGTAGTGTCTCTTAGCTGTTGTATCCCCAGTCTAGCAGCAGTCTCCCATCTCTAATTTCCCCATGTAGTCTCTCCAGCGGTAACCTCCCCAACAGTTGTCTCTTAAGCAGTAACCTCCCCAGCGGTGGTTTCTTCAGTAACCACCCCAACAGTGATCTCCCCAGCATTAACCTCCCCAGCTAGCAGAGGAATAATAGTGGTCTTCCTGTCGAGTTATGCTCCCTGCGCCCACGTGCCTAACTTACTCGCTCGCTTACCATATGGCATTCCGTGTCCACGCCTCTTTATTCTCTCTCTCTCTCTCCTCTCTTGTTTATTTGCCTGCTTAAGACATATAATAATATATATATATATATAATATATATATATATATATATATATATATATATATATATAATATATATATATATATATATATATATATATATATATATATGTTGTGCCGAATATGTAAAACTGGTCAATTAGCAAGAACTCATTTAAAATTAAGCCCTTTCTAAAAAAATTTCTTATACGTTTAAAGATATATTTTTTTCATTAATGTTAATGTAAAAAATTTTAATTTTGCACCAAGAGAATCTTAGAAAACTTACCTAACCTTATTATAACAAGAACAATTTATTTTAGCCTAACGCAACTATATATATTTTAGATTTGTTTACAGTAATTTAATACTAAACAAACATAGTGAAATATATTTTTATCGTTAGGTTCAGAATGATTTTTGCGAAATTATTGCATACACAAATTTTCGCTTTTCCTATATGGCAAGATGAGCGTTGCTATTTAAGCCAAGATCGCAAGTTCTGCCTATTCGGCACGACACAATATATTATATATATATATATATATATATATATATATATATATATATATATATATATATAAAAATATTATATATATATATATATATATATATATATATATATATATATATATATATATATGGACGAGATATTGGCTTCATTTATAAAGGTCTGTGGGCCATCTGGTGCCAGCTGTGTGGACACGTGCAATACATGTAGGGGCACATGTGTACCAGCTGTGCGGCTACACACGCGTGTGCCAGCTGTGTGGATACTTGTACCAACTGTGTGAACACTACCATCTGCCTGTCACTGTTATTTTCATAATAGGGGAGCGCTAAACCCTCATGAATCATAAAGCGCCTGGTGGAGGGGGGAAGATGGGATTCAATCAGATTTGATCCAAAAATTGGGAGGGTAGTTCTTATTCCTTGGATCAAGAGCGCATCACCGGCATCAAGGTACCTCCTAAAGTCCGGGGGTAGACAAAAGGGGAAATATCCCCAGCATTTACGGCGACCAAGATGCTGGACCTTAGGTAAGCACACCCTGCGGGGTAGGTGTCCCCCCTTCCCAGTACCCCCCCTAAGCTCTTGATGCCCAACACAGTTGGGTACTGGGTAGTGCCTCAAGTTAATTAATATCGTTAGATGTCTTCAGGTAATCACAGGGTATTAATATATATTCATGGGAAGCGCTAAACACGTAGGGAAAGGGGTCACAGTGCCTGAGGAATGGGAGTTGATCAGGTTTGATCCAACGTAATAATAATAATAACAGTAAGCAGTAATAATAATAGCAATAATTATTAATAAACAATAATAATAATAGATAATAACTGAGCATTAATAACAATAATAATGATAGTAACTGTGCATTACTATCAGTAATTATTAATAAGCAATAATAATAATAATAATAAGCACTAATAATAATAACTGAATGCATGTCTAAGGGATAAATAATACAACTAACAAATCCACAATTCAAATATAATTCACTTAAAATCATTACAATATATACAGATAAAAAAACACATGTTTACATAAGTACAATTCAATAACAAAAGAGGAGTAAAAATGATAATAATTATAATAATAATAAAAGTATGGAAGACAAATCAAAACAGAAGAGAGAGAGAGAGAGAGAGAGAGAGAGAGAGAGAGAGAGAGAGAGAGAGAGAGAGAGAGAGAGAGAGAGAGAGAGAGAGAGAGAGAGAGAGAGAGATTGAGATTAAAAAAAAGGTTAATTTGGCACGGCGAATTCACGGTTAAAACAACAATGTGAACAAAAGTTATATATATATATACACAGGCCTTGACCACATCTTGTTAAACAATTTCTATAAAAAGTCATGACTAGTTTCAGTACCTTTACCTTTGATATACCTTTGAAGAGTTTCGAGAGTTTAGCTACTCTCGGGGCCCGGCCCTGGGCCAGGCTCGTCTGATGCTTGCCTGGTCAACCAGGCTGTTGCTGCTGGAGGCGAGGGAGAGAGGCCTTCGCTTCTTCCACCTCAAAAAAAAAAATCTTAAAAAAATAATTTATATATATATAATGTATATAAATGTTTATATTTGAATAAACGATTGAGACGGAACCACGAAATCTCGATCTTCCGAAATAACTTTTATCTTCTGAAGAGGGCCATAATTAGAGTTCGAAATATTCCGTGTTTCCTTTCCCTGTTGTAGTTTATTCAGATAATGTTAAGTCCTCTTTACTCCATAACGTTTTATTCACATGCGTTTATTTGGAAAACAAAAAAAAAATGGAATCCTCTGAGAACTCAAAATTGCGGTTCAAAATTTTGCTTCAATAATACAAAAAAAATAAAAATAAATTGGGCTCTTGTAAACGGGTTATTAATGATAAATTTATGCAAGGTTTTACAGAGTTAAAATTTATGTGTGGCACAGAGCAGTATGACGAGCGTACACGTGTCCGTCTGTGTACACTCGCCAAGACGTACATGCAGATGATTGCCAAAACATAAATGCGTACATTTGTCAGGACATATATGTGCACAACTGTCAACACGTACATGTCAAGATGTACGCACTGAGATCAATCAATAAGTATGCCCTTTCAGCGATTTTGTGTACACTACATATATATATGTATATAATATATATATATATATATATATATATATATATATATATATATATATATATATATATATATATATATATATATATAATGGCACCTTTAGATTCAAGAATAATTGTGAAAATCCTTATGAGACAATACACAAGCTTAGCAACAACACGTACATCAAAATAAATAGGGTCGTTGTTAGGAAAAGATTGTTCTTGTCATAGTCCAGTTCTAGGAGCCTCTACTAGGTCTCTAGGGTCCATGATAATCCTAGTAGCCTTAAGCAAACTTCCAGTGTCAATGGAGGTTGTTCCTAGAAATGTAAACAAACCAAATATCAATTAAATTAAATGTTACGTGAATTTTATACCACTGGCACTGGGCATCAATAGAACTGGACATCAACAGAACTGGACTCATCAAATATCACCTGAAGATATCTCCTACCCCCCTCTTACTACGTAAAACAGTTAAATATAACTTTGTAAATTAAGCTCATTATTTTGCATCAAGATTAACCTAGCAACATAGCTTTCCTAAAATTTACGTAGCCTAAGAATTGACAAAATTATATTTAAAAAATTTTAGTTTTGGGAAGAGCAAAGGAAAAATCCTCAGGTGACCCCCACCGCTTCACGATCTTGACAACCTTAAGAGAGAATACCTAAAGCTTTGTACACTGGCAGGATGCTACTGGACAACACGAGACAATATTGCACCTCTCGCAACCACAAGAGAAACTCCCATAGCTTGTGATTGAGATTTGTACCACAGAACAAGAGTGTTAATGCGAGTCACCCTTGACTTGGTGTTCTCTCTCTCCCTCACGCGATTTTCTTATGAGCGGTTTTAAAAAGTTCGTGAAAAAGAACAAATCCCGCAAAAGTATCGTGTGCACTGTATCTGCGTGTGACATGAATGGTAAAAAAAAAAAAAAAAGAAAACTGTAGTATAATGGGATCCATTATTGTCAACCACAGATCGCATTAGACTCCATTTGTGTTTCATTTTCCACAATGTCGGTATTTTACACCAATTCTCTTCGACATGAATGATCTAAATAAAATTTCCCAGGGGAAACAAATGTCGTTTAAAATTTTAGCAAGTCCAATAATTTTAGAACAATAATAAACCAAAATCATCGGAATTTTTTTTTCAGGACGAGAGAGAAACCAAGACACTAATGAATTACTCATTGAACGTTGTTACATCAGGTGTACACAGGGTGAACACAGCGCCACCAACACTACGCTCTGTGTACTATTTCCTCAAATCCATCCCGTTATTAACTAAACCATTTTTTTTACTAGGCTAAAGCGCATTGTAAAATTCTTTATTTTCGACTATATTTACACTCTTTAACCCCAATGTAAAGAAGCAAGCATCTAGCAGGTCCACGTATGTACTTCCTGCCCGGGGGAGTCAAATCCTTACGGTACTCAGCTTATCACTTGGCAGTTAGCAAAATGTTCACCGTAATCAGCAGTTTATCAGTTGACACCCTTGGCACTAAACATGCTAAAAAAAAAGGCATCTTTATGGCACAGCAGTTTTTTTTATGTTATTTTCTAAATCAAAGTGAAAGACTAAATCAGGTTTCATTTTAAAGATATATTCTCACGTTAGGATTTTGTGATATTATTTTTGTAGATCTGTTTGAGTGATACTTTATGAGTTGCTGAAGAGATCAATCACAATGAGAAATCCTCTCAGTTTTCTGTGGGATTAACGTAATATTTCGACGCATTGTATCGTTGGCTTCTTCCCAACTTGTTTGTTCCGCTAAGCTTTATACAGGGCTTACAATTCTCACGTGAACTATCGTAACGTCTTATATTGCACCAAACTGGCTGTCTATTTTCGATTAGGAAAACAGCAAATTGATTGTCCATTTAGAGCAAAAGTCGCTCATTGAATAATGTGCGCTGTGGTTGCAATTACAGTCAACATCACACACGGAGCATTTTCCCCATTCACTTAGCAATATCATAGGCCTCGAGTGAGGATATATGTCAGCGGGTAGTGTAGGGCGGCTCACGTTTCCAAGACACACTGGGCTCTGCTATGTGAGTTCAGGGCGAGGGTGACCCACTCCTGGTGTCTTGGAGCACATCTAAGAAGGGGCTGACCCAGACGCATAACACCCATCACTAAGAACTCCCCGTCACCAGCCCGAGCTCCACACTGAAGGGGCACCTCCACGCGACCCAGATAGCCGCTCTCCGCCTCCAGAAGGAAGTTGCTGAGCTCCTCCTCCTCCTCCTCTTTCCCTTGCTCCTCGGAGGAAGTGAGCTTGAGGGCGCGGGAGTGTTTGAACACCGGAGATGTCTGCTGGATGAGTTTAGTGGCGCGGACGGTGATAAGGGTGCGGCTGAGGCTGGCGTCATCTGCCACGCCTACTATAGAACCCCTCGCCACAAAGTCCGCTGCGCAGTACAGCTGCAGGAGCTCCTCCTCTGAACACGGCCGACATTCTGAGGAGACAAAAACAAAACACATATTAACACAATGTAATCTAAAACAAGAATATTAAAAGCAATCTCATAAAATACTCATTAGATAATAAAACAATTCACAAAAAAAACACATGTAATGAAACTTAAGACGTAATACAGGATGACACTGATCTTGAACGGACCGAAAAACACAGCCTAAAAAAAAAAGCCTAAGTCTTCCATTCTTTTATTCTACAATAGAGTTGAAGGGCACACAAGTGGCCTCCAAGTATGCGGTAAAGCCAAGAGTCGTCTCTCAGTGCAAATAACAGGCCAAGTACTGCTGAAGAGTCATTATCTCCGTAAGTAATGGCTAACCTTGTAGAGCTGGAGTATCAATTACCCAAGTCCAACAACATAATTCTCCCAGCGGAGGTCTTAAAGGCCCCTCTCCGGGTGATTCATTTGGCCTCAGAGACGGATAGTGTGAAACACATGTTGTATACCCGATCAGACTGCCTTGTTATTCTCATTCTCTCTCTCTCTCTCTTGTGTTTTATGTTTGATCGAAAGAACTGCTGCTACTCTCCCTATCTTTGGATTAAACTTGAATACCTTCCATTCGTGTGTGTGTGTGTGTGTGTGTGTGTGTGTGTGTGTGTGTGTGTGTGTGTGTGTGTGTGTGTGTGTGTGTGTGTGTGTGTGTGTGTGTTTCATATCTTCCTTATCAATGAACATCCAGATAAATTTGACATTTTGTTTTTGCTTTTCTAAAGAGACGTCTGTACAGACAGGTGTACGAGTATCCTGTAATGTCCTGGCGAGGTCTCTCTTTCCCCAGCTCCCATGGGTGCCAATTACGTCTTCCTCCCAGGGTGCCACTTACGTCTTCCTCCCAGGGTGCCACTTATCTCTCACTCTCTAGATGCGACTTACGTTTCACTCCCCCCCTAGTGAAAACACAGACAGGATGTTTTCCGAGCGAAGTTCAAAAGTTTTCATTAATCGAGCTAGCAGGGCATTACACAAGCAGGGTGTACCTAGCAGGGTGTAAGTAGCATGGTATGACACTTGTAAGGTGTGACAAAAGTGCAGATCTCGGTACCAAAGTTTTCGAATGACTTTTCCCTTTGTACATTCTTAGTTTGAAGACCGCCACCCATGTCTCATGGGAAGATGAGTGAGGGATGGGGGGATGGGGGTTAAAATTTTCCAACTCATGCCCCGTGGGGAAGAGAGGCAGTCACAACCCATGCACTCTATGACGGACCAATCTCTCAGCTCAGGCTAACAGATTTTATCGCTATATATGTAACCAATCCTCCATTATGGAAGATGGCAGGGAAACAGCTAGCTTTCGTTCCTATGTAACTATCATACAGAATAAAAGTTACAGCACACTGTGTGTTCTTATTATGTAACTAACATACAGAATAGGGTAACAGCACACTGAGGGGATTCCCACAATATAACAATCACATAAAATAGGGTAACAGCATACTGAGGGAGGTTCCTACAATATAACAATCGCACAGAATAGGGTAGCATCACACTGAGGGTCCCACAATATAACAAACACGCAGAATAGGTTGACAGTAACAGCATACTGAGGGGGTTCCTACAATATAACAGTCACATAGAATAGAGTAACAGCATACTGATGGAAGTTCCCACAATATAACAATCACATAGAATAGGGTAACAGCATACTGAGGGAGGTTTCCACTTCCTAACAATGATATATAATAAGGTAGCAGCACACTGTCGATGCATCACAGGAGACTTGCACGCAGCAGAAAGAAGTAATCTTGAGGAACGCGAGTAAAAACGGCCGCTACCGAATTACGCGACACAAATGCACATAAATTAGGTATAAAGAATCGAAGTGAGAGCAATCAGTAGCGACTGACGGACGATATAACCAGCTAACGAGCGATCGTCGCGCTCGTTACTACTCGTTGCTCAAGGCACTAACCATGACCGAATTTACACGAAACCAACCACCCTTCAAGGGCCGTGCCTTGATATTGGTGAAGGGCTCTTGATGCATGGAACTGAAACTACCCCGTCCCCTTTATCTGGTCAAAATTAAATACTTACTCCCCAGGCTTTGTAATAGCCCCTACGGTTTTAGCGCTCCCCCCCTGACTAAACTGATAACTTGCCCCAACAGGCCTCTATTATTTCATAATATAGGCCTCTATTATTTGAAGGAGGGGTAGCGATATGTTGTTTTTAACTGCAGTGAATGGAGTGAATGATTATAAAAGTGTTTCTTCTTTTTCAGGCCACCCTGCTGTGTCAATAAATAACAAACTTATAACATCGAGACATGTTATATATTTATACGAAGCTCTAAGCGCGTATGGATCATTCAGAGTAAGGAATAGTGGAGGCTTGATCCTCCGTTCACCGCTGCAACAGCAGTCAAGCTTCTCTTTCGCGTCTTATTATGAGGATCATCATTACCAAACTGTCACCGACACTACCAGGCTAACAGCAGACAAGCCTGGCCCATGGCCGGGCTCCGGGAGAAGAATTACTCTCAGAACTCCTCAAGGGATTCAAAGGTAATTTATCAAGCTCCTTGAACATAGTTGTGTACTGAGCACTTACTTTTTACTTAAAGATAGTGTTAAAAAGCATTAGATCCTTTATAACTGCTAAACTGTCCTTAGTGCACTTATTGAATCTCAGGTTGTTATTACGGTTATTCTGCGGCGTCTAGGACGCCTCTAACCTACCTTAAGAGTGTGATGAATGGTTTGAAAAAAACCATTCATCACAACTGTCAGACACTGCAGCATCATGAGATCTTATTACAAAGAATTCTTCAACACTTGTCCAACCTTTGGACGAAGACCTACTTCGACTAGTGGATGATACCACTATGACCCCGCCTCCTCCTGCTTCGTCTTACCTCACTACAGTATATAAGCCACGTCTACGGCCCTATGCTGTACATTCTACAAGATTGATGGACTGAACACATCGACTCCAGGCTGAGGGACTGATTACCTCAAACTCCTCCTCTCCTTACGCCTTTCTACTTTGTATTGGACTGATGAAGCCACTGTGTGGCGAAACGTTTCATGAATAAAGATTCCCATATGTTGCATAAGTGTCTCAATCTTCAAGGGGATGCTGTGGTGAGTAAACTCTGAATCAGGTCTCTCTTACGTGCGGTTATTTGTGTTGTTCCACTCACGGTATTGTGACTGTTTCTTAACTATAAGAACTTTACTATACTTTTGATATTAAGAACCAAAGGGCACAATACCGTGACTAGAATAATACACAAATAACCCGCACATAGGAGACAAGAGCTTACGACGACGTCTCGGTCCGACTTGGACCATTTGCAGTCACTTTGTAAATGGTCCAAGTCGGACCGAAACGTCGTCGTAAGCTCCTCTCTCCTACGTGCAGGTTGTGTTTTATGTATCTTTAATATACCTTCGATGAGTTTCGAGAGCTTTTCTGCTCCCGGAGCCCGGCCTGATGTCAATTATAAAATAGTTATCTCTTCTGTGCTCCGTGTTTAGGGATGGATACTTAACCACTTGGACAAATTTAGATTTAGAAAGGGTAGAGGGAAACACTGATTTGGTAACAGAGTCGCCAGGTAGCCTCACTGAGGCCACCAGAACTTTTCGTTTAAAATAGGTTTAGAAAGGGTAGAGGGAAACACTGATTTGGTAACAGAGTCGCCAGGTAGCCTCACTGAGGCCACCAGAACTTTTCGTTTAAAATAGGTTGGACGGGTACTTCGAGTTGTTGTAGGTGAGTGTAAAAAGAATCTACCTGAACTAATAAGCCTACTACAATGGTCGACTATTTTTTTCTTTAACACATCGTCCGTCTCCCACCGAGGCAGGGCGACCCGGAAAAGAAGAAACACTTTCATCATCACTCACACCCTCACTGTCTTGCCAGAAGCGTGCCGACACTACAGCTGAAAAACTGCAACATATCTCCACACCTCCTAGTGAAAGCACTGTACTTCCCACCTCCAGGACTCAAGTCCGGCTAACCAGATTCAGGGCTTTCATAAATGTTACCATGCTCAAACTCCAACAAGCCACTAGACTAGAGGGTGGTTTGTCTTCCACACACACACACACACACACACACACACACACACACACACACACACACATATATATATATATATATATATATATATATAATATATATATATATATATATATATATATATATATATATATATATATATATATAGAGCTGCTATAGCAGATGATTAAATGGAATACTTGACGATATCCTCACTGCCTTACTGAAGTCTCCCACCTCAAGGCTGACAAATTTCAACCCTACGTATGCAACCCATCCTGTGTAATGGACTATAACGGTAAACAGAGCTTAGCTTTGCTCCCACCTAGAAACTGTTATATAGCGTAGCAGCACACTGCAGATGTATCCCATTTTGCTAATAAATAAAAAACTAACACCGCCCACTGCACACTATATAATTAGCTGGCATCCTAAGCATCCTCACAGTATTTCCCGCTTCCTTGCTGGCTTGCCAGGTGGCGCGCCTTCAACACATTCCTGGGAGTGGAAGAAGGGAAGAGGTTAGAGAAAGGGAAGATCGGTGGAGGTGGTGGGTGAGAAGGTGGGTGTGGAAAATGGGGGCTGGAGGGGAGAGGGTTTAAGCAGAGGGATAATTCCTTTAATCTTTAAGATGAAGAAGTTACACCGATGAGCAAATTATTACTCATCACGGATTTACAAACCTTATTAAATTCATTTTGAATATTCCGGCTCACTTGCATTTGTGGTCACAGTGGTGCCTATGCTAACCTTCCTATGGTGTAGAAATGTACCTAGTTGGATGAATCTTATTGTAGCTAGCTGGTCCAGTGGCTAACGCGACGGTCTGGAGTTTTGTGACTCTCGGATCGCGGGTTCTAACCCCACCCGTGGTATGGTTTGTTTACAATCGTGTCATTACGATTCCGTGAGTCATTACGGTAACATTTTTACTGAAACCTTTCGTCGAAATGCCCGAAATGCAC